CTTATATCACTGTGCAAGTATTACAGGCACAACTCGATAATCATTTTGCCAGTAATTCAGGTATGGCATTTAAATGTTACCACACAACTTTCACATGTTTGTAAACTGGCAAAGTTCTGAATTGCCTACTAAAACATAATTGGGTAAGTTCAACTCTGGCTAGAAAAAAAACACTTCTGGAGAAAAAGGGCATGGGAAAGCAGTAAGTACCTTGAAACTGTGTTGAGATAAAATGAGAGAAAAGAATGCATTAAGTGAAAAATGACTGATTCCAAGATGAACTGAGCAGAGGAATGCAGGGGAAAGAACGAAATCTGTGGAATGCAGTGATGTCAGTTATACACAAAACGGCAATGTCGTCATCCCAAATGTAACCAACCGACTTGAGCTGTCAGGTCAATTGGTCACTTATTTAGATTTGTGTGGCACCTAATTTGCATACCGGTCTAATTCTTAGTGAATGACATTCCTGGAGCTATTAATTTGGCTGGATCTGTTAGCTAGGCCATGCCTTTTGATTATGTAATGGCATACTTGAACCCAAGAGGGTGTGTTGCCTTTTAATGACTGACTCTTGGTTGTGGGGCTCATTCCTGCACCAACCACCATGGCATGAAGACCAGTTTTTTAGTCATTTCGTTTTCGTTCCTGAATTTTCCGTTTCGTTCGGGGGTTATGGTAACACCCCATGGGTTGTCTTGTCGTCGAGTGCAACTCGTCTTTGGATTTTCTGGCTTTTCTTTATGATGCTTTGGTGAGTCAAAAAACAGCAATTCTAATTAATTATAGTTGCTGCTTAATGTTTAAATGTTGTTCTAGTGTGAATATGTATATTGCTTCGTCATGTTGGGGATGGTTAGTTTATATTTGAAATTTATTTGTTACAGCCAACCTCTGACTAGTTCCGTGCTTGAAACTTTATCCGGGATCGACGTTGGGTCATCACACAGAACACCTTTTTATTAAGGTACATGTATGGGTTGGAAAGGGTAATTGCTAATATTTTCATTGTATAAAATGTGATTGAGGTGTTCATGAGTTGTATTTTCAATGTGTAACTTTTAGTATGAATTTGCTTACTAGGTCTCTCTATACTTTACATTTCATATTTATTTAAAACATTCCCATTCTTTCATGAAAAATCTGGGTCGATTTTATTTGACAGGTGTTCTTCTTGCCTCATATTTTTGGTAGCCTTGTATTTCTGACCAACAATTCATAAATTGACTTTAAATTATAGGTTCATTCTGTTGGAAGCTTTACTCGAAACGAGAGCAAGTTCCTAAACACCTGCCGTGTTAAGATACAATTGTGACTCTTGCAATTTTCTTTATAATTTCCGTATATACATATCATGGAATGAGGTTTGAGACACACGGACTGAATTTTGATATGATTAACAATTCTTATTTATTAAACCTCAGATTCAACCAATCCCCTTCTGAGTTAGTCTTTGCAAATTATTTGTTTGTTCCACAACCGTGTTCAACAGTAATACCACGGGATACTCCTACTCCCTCCTGCTTGTGCTCCTTGATTACACAACCATGAATAAAAAACCTGTAACAATTCTTCAAAAACATAAAAAAACCTGTAAAAGTTCTTCAAAAACTGGTCACAGTCCAATTCTCACAAATTCACTTAATTGCACTGTTTATATTCAATTCAGCTGGATAATTGCTGTTAGGTATGCCCAGCATCGCCAATTGATCATCTTTGGAGAAGCAAGGCCAGCCCTCCCTTCAAGCTAAGGTTTTATCAAGCTTGTGTGCTTTCTGCCCTCCTCTATGGCATATATGATTCTGAAACCTGGACACTGAGAAAAAGAGATCAACAGCGTCTCCAGGCCTTCCACATGCAGTGCCAGCATTGCATACTGGGCGTCCAGTGGTTTGACTTCACTTCAAATGCCATCATCTCTCAGCACAAGGGGCTCGGTAACATCGTTTTGGAGGTTGTAGGGAGGCGACACACTTTATTTGGTCATGTCCGGCACCTCCAAGTCCCAGCTCCCCCTTGTCTTGCCCTCGATGTAGCTATCCAATTCCATCTTGGTCAATGACCTGCCATCTGGAGGAGGCTCCGCAGCCGTCCCCGTCTCACTTGGCTTAAGCAGGTTGCTGACGCTGTGCAGATGTCTCCAGATGAGTGCTGGTCCCTTGCTCTTGACAGGGTTATCTGAAGGTCACTATGACCCTCTTGATGGTCATGTGCAGAATGATGATGATGATGATCATTGCCAACAAAAATTGGCATGCCAACTCATATGAGGGTTAACAATCCAAACTGTTAGTATTATAGTTCCAACATCTGAGACCGTACACTGGTATAGACCTTTTTCCTGTGATGTCACAATCGTGCTGAACCGGTATGTGTTGTGATGGTAATGAGTGCATAGTGTTGGGATGGTAATCTACTTATTCAAGTTTAACTAGTCAAGCATGTAGCGTTCGCACGTGCTCATCGTGGCCACGGTGGTCCACCAAAGTGGTACTGTTTACATTTAGCAAACTCCAGTCATGTAGGTGAAAAAGGTCTAGTAGTAGTATAGGCCTAGTCTTCAGATCCCCAATTTTGCCACAGGCCTACAGGCTGATAGGCTTACCATGGAGGAATGAGCCTTGGGCCTACCATGCACGTTCCTTCCTCCATGGGCCTACTACTAGGCCCTATAAAAAAAAAACACACCTCCTGCTTTAAATCAATATTTTTTGCTTTGCAGTCCAATGAAATCCAAACTTATATCGAAACATTTCTTATGACATCCTCTCCAAGATCACTTCAAAAATAAAACAAAAAAAATATTTGAACAATTGATTGGCCTCCCTTATTTATTATTAAATTTAGGCCTAGGGCCTAATTTAATTTAAGGCTATGGAGTATGGGGCCGGGTATGAGGGGCTTACCCTGTAAGTCACTTTGTACACAGTAAAGCCTTTCTCGTGTTTGGTAGGGTCTGTGACGGAGAAACTTCGGATCCAATCTTTTGAATTCTTCGAAGATGCCATTATCTCAAAGTCGGAGATCGCCCACAAAACATGTAAAAGTATTCAGCGGCCAAGTCCTCCTTGGCATTTGTCTGTTTCCGAGTTGCGGACGAGCTGGTCGTCACCTTCGAAGTTCGATGACCTTTTCAGGTCACGATAGAAGTTTGGCTGCCGACGCAGGGCATGCTTGCAGTGTGTGTTGAACCTTTTTTTTTCATGTTATCCAGACTACTAAATATTTTTCTAGTTTCATCCCTTGGTGGCGCTATATAACCCAATCAGCACAAATCAAGTTCAAGTCGCATGTACGCACTGCATGATTATGAGTGTATTGTAATTTACAGGCCTCTTTCTTTTAATCTTTCACTACGTTGCACTAAGACACATTCTCTGTCATGGGATTGCTAACGATTTTGAAGAAGATGAAGCAGAAGGAAAAGGAAGTCCGACTACTAATGCTGTATCCTTTAGTGAAATGCTCTTTAGCCCATTGACTGATTTAGGCCTAGACCCGTAAACAGGGCCCACCGAATACTCCTCCGTCGTATAAAATACTGATTACTGGGCCCTGTTCCGATTAATAGGGATTTCTTTTGAGAACTTTATCCGGGACATCCGGGGGCATAACTAAACATCCGCTTGATTTTATGAGCTGAAATTGCACTGGTATGTTCACTACTTACGTTGTAAAAATCCACTTGCTGCTAATTGTAGAAAACTCACCTTTTCCTTGTTTGGAGGAAAAAATGTTGCCGTTTTTGCCGTTTTCCCTCTCCGTACGAATTTTTCGCCAGACTTGTACATTACACCAGACTTGTGCATTACACCATGATTACACAGACTCCATTGTATGGTTAAGTAATGGTACCCTGTACGAGAGCCTGTCTAGTTTGCACCCAGACTTCAGCACCTACGTATCTCGTTCAGATCTGCGAGAGTACCTGTCGATCTAAGTACTCGTAGAAAATACGGCTGTTTTGTGTCGCAGCCAATATGCAATGCCCTTGGCTGGTTCCCTGTCCAGTCACACACTGTTTGCGTCAAATCATTGGTAGCGGGGCTCACTCTCTGTAACGTGACACAAAAGTGACAAAATAGCTGTCGCTTTCATGCAAGTGGGACAAACTTCGTCCGGAGTGGGAAAACAGCAAAAAAGGCAACATTTTTTCCTCCAAACGAGGAAAAGGCGAATTTTCTACAATAAGCAACCTAGTGGATTTTTTACAGTGTAAGTAGTGAACATACCGGTGCAATTTCAGCTTGTAAAATTAAGTGGATGTTTAGTTATGCCCCCGGATGTCCCGGATAAAGTTTTCGAAAGAAATCCCTATTAATCGGGACAGGGCCCAGTTTACGAAGGAGGAGTATTCGTTGGGCCCTGTTTACGGGTCTAATTTAGGCCTAACTTAGGCCTATAGTATCCCAGGTTGGACGTTGTCTTCATTTCATTACGACTAGTACAGTCAGGGAGTCCACCTGGGCTAGGCCTATGGCTATGCCATTGTTGGAACATGCAACTAGTCTATGATATCAGGGAGCCATTATTACCTTTTTGCAGTGAAAACGAATTGCTACATTATGACAAGTCAGTAAATGATGTTTTCACTCCACTGTGCAAGCTTCCTTGTTGTGGAAGCTCCCAGAAAAACACATGATACAGTCATGTCCATTCATTGGTTATACTAGTAGTCTGAGCCTCCATGGGGAGAGTCCAAGCAGGACTCTACAGATCACCCCCAAAACAGTCCATAAACTGTCTAATGTGCCCACTGTAAGATTCAGTGGGAATCGGAGATTCCAGTGATAGGCCTAGTGGTAAAGTTTGCTTACATTTGGGAAGAGAAGAGAAATTTCCCCTTCAAATCAGAAATGCTCTTGTCGTCAAGCTCAAAGTTGTCAACTTTTTCACATGATTCAAACTGAATAAGTCTTATCACTAACGGCATGAGTGATTTTGCACAGTGGTAGAAAAGCATTGTGGTAAGGAAAAAGGAGCAAAGTGCCTTTTTACCTTCCCACAATGCCCTTGTATCATTGTGCAAAACCACTCATGCGCATGCGGTATAAAGCTTATGCTAGTAATATACAGGGAGAAAGTCGAAATGTCACAACGTGCTCGCCGAGCGCACCATTCACAATAAGCATGCAGTGTCTGCACACTCATTCCAATGACTGTTTCCTTGAACGGCACAACGTTCATAAGACAACTTAATGTGGTCACAGCTACCAAACAGATGATGTCTGTATTCGTCCCACACTCCAACTACTCCTTGGAGGTCGAGTGAGTGTGGAATCCTTGAGTGTCTTTGTGCCATGGCCAGCCAGATGAAGAAGCAAACATTGTCCCACATTATTGTCTCATGTAAAAACGTGCTGGTGTGATTAGAAAACTCACACAGAGTTTGGACATGTGACAACTAAAGGTCAACATCTGTAAAACTAAGGGGGGGTATTGGTTTGATTTCTTGCCAATATTGAATGCGGTATCCATTGCACTGCTTTCAATGTAGCGCAGACGATTATCTCAGCTCTCCTTGCTAAGAATTGATTCCACTGGCTGAACTTCCTCTGAAGCTGCTGTTTTGAATTGATCTTTTTCTACGTAGGTCTAAGTTTGACCACAACATGGATAACATGGCCAGATAAATGTACTTTTTCCCACCAATTTTTCACTCTCGATGACCTTAACGATATTTATGCATTGAAGTGGTCTGGACAATGCTGGAAAGACAACAATTCTCAAGAAATTCAATGGAGAAGACATCAGCACAATCTCTCCCACTCTGGGCTTCAACATCAAAACATTAGAGCACAGAGGGTGAGTAAAAGAAATCCAATACAGCGATTTTCATTTTAACAATGCTCACCATCAGACTTCAATTATTAACACTTTATAGTTACTATTCCATCATTACTGTGTCATTGGTGGGCTAGTTCGGGCATGAGCATTAGATGCATCACTAATCAATTACAGTTTAGCAATGTGCACAGACAATACAAGGTATTATTTTTACTCACATTTTGCCATTGGCTGCATTTGTCGTGGTGTACATGGTCAATGAAACCTTAGACAGTTACTTTCATGTTAATGGTTTTCTCTCTACTGATAAGTTAAATCGACTACTGATTACCAGCAGTGGAACCACACCCCTGGGCCTGGTTCCGAGTGGTCGACTAACTGGTCCAAACCATCATCGTTTGTCAATCGAACTTACCTAGTGGTGTAATACTTGTGTTGTCTTGGTTTGACGCCTTTCAGCTTCAAGCTTAATGTTTGGGATGTTGGGGGTCAGAAGTCACTACGTTCCTATTGGAGGAACTACTTTGAGAGTACAGATGGCTTGATCTGGGTTGTAGACAGTGCAGATCGGAGGAGACTCTTGGACTGCAAGAAGGAACTTCATTCCTTGCTACTAGAAGAGGTACATAACTTAGAAATGAAGGGACTTTTACCTTGATATGATTAATGTTGGTCATGGCATCTGTGTATTCAGCAAAGTATGCACTGGATCATTACTTTCAACTACAGTTTGCTTAAAGGGGCTTTTCAATGCACTTTTTTTTTACAACCCTTGAAAAATATTCCTTTGTACATGTATTTCAATTCCTCCTGGGTGCAGAAATTTTGAATTCATGGGCGTATTTATAAAACAATGGAACGAAATCTGAATTATATACTATAAACGCAGCATGTAAGAACAGTACATCTATTCACAAATACATGTAACATTTACGTATAGCCTGCTTTCTTTCATTCAGCTTTAAGGAATCTGCAGCATATATGCAAGCAGCATTAAGCCTTTCAGCCTTGTTGGTGCATCATTTTAGAATACAGACGCAGATATGCGAAATTGCCGTACAAGAGCCATACAAAATCTCAAGTTTTTCATAGGTTTGTAAACAAATATTGATATGACCAGTAGGCTTCAATGTGTAGAGCAAGTCAGCACTCTAGTAGTTATACATAGCTCTATGGATACACACGGTCCTAACCAGTGATTATTTGTGACTATGACATTTCAGAGATTGGCCGGTGCCACTCTTCTAGTTTTTGCTAATAAACAGGACCTACCAGGATCGCTACCAGCAGAGGACATCAGACAGGTACGGCCACAGTTGTTTTTAAACGATGTATATTGACATCCAATTAGTCATTGTGTGTGGACAGAATAATCATTGTTCAGAGCATCCGGGAAAAGACAATTCAGTACAGTGATCGCAGGACCCATCTGCTCCCCTTGATAGCGTGTCAAGACATGAGATCCCAGATAAGGAACTGGAGAATAAATGCCGGGTTTTTTTGTACTTAAAGGGATTTATCTGAGAATGTTTTATTTGGTGATAGATGGGTTGTTCTATTCAACTTGGCTTCACCTGATGGAATGGAACAGTCAATCTATCATGACATTATTTTTACCATTTCACTCATTAATATTCATTATTTAGAAACTACAGCATGTTGCATTTTCATTTTGAAAGTGCATTACATTTCGATTTAAATGCTTCATTGCCTTTTTTTAGCAATTATTCATGTTGAACCCTTTTATGGAAGTTTTTTTTTTCACAGTTGTTGGAAAATATTTTAAAACAAGTCAATATGAGGAATTCAATATCACAAATGAAGTCAGCTTAAGTACTTAGAAATAATACACCAAACCTTTAAACTACATCTATGTGTTAAAACTAGAACAGTAAAATGAGCCTCTGTCCTGGAATTTCAGTCTGGGCTTGAACCAAGAAAGTTACTTGAAGATTGATTCATCTTTCTAGCCTCCAGAATCACAAGGACTGGGCAAGCTAGTGCTTGGCAAAAACTCAATCGAGTTATGTAAATGCAGCAGTTTTCAGTTGTTACTGGTGAAATATTGATTGGCTGTATCCTTTAAAAATGCAAGAAACCACAGCTGTGGTTTAACTGGTATATCACTGGATTTAGCTGTCAACACAGGCAGTAAGGTAGGCTAGAAAAAAATGCAGAGCTCTACAGCTGGTATTTATCCAGGATGCTGTTTCAAGCAGTAACATCCACTACTGCATTTCAACTACACCATATTTTATTGTAGAGAAAAACTTGATGGGGGCTCAAGTTAACTGTTACTTGGTTAGCTTTCTCCAAAGAACCAAAGGTTTTAACTGGCCTTTAATTTGATTTTTCATTTTCCCCTCAGACATTAGAGCTTGACAATATTAAGACTCACCACTGGCTGATCATTGGCTGCAGTGCTGTCACCGGTGAGAATTTACTGCAAGGTATTGACTGGTTAGTGTCTGATATCGCCTCAAGGATTTTCACCATGGATTGATGATGAACCAGCGTGTTTGCTATTCTTTCAAGAGTAAACGTCAGCCAACTACTGTTCGGAATCCCAAGTACTTTCCCCAAATGTTGTCGCTACCAAGTCTGCAGAATTGGGAACAGGTTTAGAGATGCTTCTTGACTCTTCCAGAACTGTTGGTGGTGTGAAATCTCAGGACATGTGATCTGGATTTTAATCCGTGGAGACTGTATTGATTTGCCACAGCCATAATACATTTAAGACAGGTCGGTTTGGCAACAGCTGAGAAGAGACGCTAACCCAGGAATGATTGCTTGCAAGCATTGAAGTCTCCACTACCGACAGCCCTGTTCTGCAAAGACCCACTGGTAGAATCTTCTTTTTTAGTAGAATGAGAACTTTTTTGAAACAGCAACTTAAGTCATCTTGTGAATGTGTCCATGTTGGTCCTCTCTGAATATAATTTTTGGTCCAGGCATAAACAGTAGTTTCACCAGGACAGGTTTAAGGTGTCAAGTAAAACTCGGAGATGTCAGCTTCCCTTTACCCCAAGGCTCAGTTTGATGATAAAAAACATCAGCTGAGATAATTCAGATGCAAGTTTTACTTGTTAGCATTATGTTAGTGGTGTATAGAATCAAGATTATAGATATAAAATTCCTTAATTCTTGAATTAAAGAAAATTTGATGAAAACTTGGAAAACTGTGGCAAATTTCAGTTGGGTGTGTCTGCTTGTACATATCATTGTCGGCCAGTTTTTGTTTTATAAGTTATTTTAACTTGTCCTGCCCGAGTTGATCAAGATTTGAGTAGGCTAAAGCACACATCAGCCAGTGTTTTGATGTTAACAGAAAGGACTTCAGCAAAGAAACGTATCACCTGTTATGATGAAGTTGCATTCTGCATTAAAATTTATTCTCTGTTTTTTATTTGCCAGTGTACTCGATGAAATGTGCAATACTTCTTTGGTATCCTGGTGTAACTAGTGGGTTAGGCAGAGTGAGAGTTCACCAGACTTCAGATTAAGAAAAAAACAGAATTGGGTTAAGGATTGAGGTAGCTGACTGAGGAGAGCGACAGTGTTTTGTGCATGTGCAAAGACTAGCCTCATTTCTAAATTTCTAAACAGTGTTTAATTTAAGGACAATACTTTCCCCTTTGTGACAATAGTGTACTGCTCAATGTTGCTACAGTAAAATGTTACTTTTTATTGAGTTTACAACTTAAAATTCGGAGAATAAAACTAGTCAGCATGACAACCAAGATATGGAAAACCTCAGTTGCCCATGATTCATCTCTCATGAGAGTGTTGCATATACTCCAAATTGTTATTTGTGTTTGAGCTCACACAGTAGGGAACCTTGCCAATTTCTGTCGACCTTGTGCACTTACGAAGAAAGAAATTTCAAAATCTTATGTTGAGATTCGGTCTCTTTCAAGTGGTTATTTTTTTCACCTTTCCAATGTCTGAGGGTGTACTGCTGGACACCCTAGAAACAAGGTTGATTTCAAGCAATGTACTTGATTAGATTGCCTGGATCTGCACTAGGTAAGCATGTGGTCGTGGGTTCAAATCCCATCAAAGTAAGCTTGTGAATTTATTTTTTGCAGACTCTTGGACAAACACGGAGTATTCAGTGTTTTATATATACATGTACACATCGGTGTGAGGGCAAAACCTGTTATTAAATTAGATTGCCTTGGTATGACATTGTTCTAAATATGGTGCCATTTCTACGGCGGACTTCTTTCAATTCAGAATATATTTGTTTTGCTTTTAGTGTGAGTTTGTTTTTGTACTTTGGTAAGCCTATTTTATATGAACCAAATTTTTACGAGTGCTGTGTTAGGAATAATTTTATGAAGTAACATTGAATTCTCGCAGAATGGAATATTCCAATTAACACCAAATGAAAATGAAACATTACTTTGTTCTATGCAGTGCTTAAAACCATGCATCACAGACAAGTTGGGTTTCTTTTGTTACTGAGCAATGGAAATTCCAAATATACCTATAGAATGGGACTTCAAATTTCATTGCTCCCAAACATGCCATGCATCAGGCAGCAGGCTAGCAGTCGACATGTGATCACTGATCCACCAATCAGATGATAAGGATTTATTTAAGGCATTGTCGAAAATTAGTATGAGTATCGAACAGTGTTGAAATAAAGGTGAAATGTGTTATTTACAATGTATGAAATTTACCTCATGAAGTTTTAATGTGCATTTGGTCCGCATGGTTGTATAAAATTCAAAGTGTATTTCATATCTTGAGGTGCATCTCTGCCAACACAACTACTGTACATGATCTTACTTAGTCAAGAGCACATGCCCCAACACAGTCAGTGTTGTACACACATGGAACTTGGAGCAAAGGTCCCCAAAATCCCTGGCTGTACGTCTGTCTGTGTCTTTTCAGCTGCAGATGAAAACAGATTTTGTCCAAGTGGGATATGAAACCTTGTTTATAATTCATCTCTCCACTAGAATTGCCCATTGGATTCATGCAAAGTCCCAAAGCTGTTAAGCAGAAATTTTCCTGCATTGGTTTTCACACTACAGAATGATCAAACTAAAGTACTTTATTTCATTTGTTCATTTGTTGTGGGTGTTAAACAGGTAAACGAACAACATTCGTATAAAATATAATATGTCAAATAAATATATATATGATATAAATATAAACACAAAAATCTCATCACTGCAACTCCTTACTTTAAATCTAATATCAATGAACTAAGAGCCTAAAATCGCAATCATTTTTTGTGCTTGTGTCATTTGACAAACCATTTTTAAGTGGCTAGCTTGCTTTGTGGTTAAAATGAATCCAGCAAACGTGTTGACTAGGCACTTACACAATAATTGAGAAAATGGAATCTGCAATCTTGATAACACCATAATGGATGAAACCGAGTTCCAGTGCTATGGCACCAAACGAAAAGAGAACCAAACCATCAGTCGGCGACGTCAAGGCTATCAGCTAGCGCAGGTTGGACGCCAGTCTCAGTCATTTCATTACGACTGACCATGGAGGAATAAAGTCGTAGTACACAAAATGAGCCTTTTTCGACATAGGCTCTGCAGAAAAAGTGACGTGTAACAGGGCATGAACAGGGATTTAACTATAGTTGTGTGCCCATAGAAATGCTGCTCCCTTTCGCCCAGTTCTGTGTTCTCTGTTCGTACCCTGTTAAACGTCATGCAGAGCCTATGGCGAAAAAGGCTCATTTTCGGGGGGGGGCTCGTGGTAGCGGGGCGGACGTCGGATCCCACTTTTCGTGATAGCGGGACGGACGTCGGACCCCTGAGTTCTGGGGGTAGTACGGTCAGGGAGTCCCACCTGGGCTAGGCTGAGTATCAGCTAACACTTATTGGAGTCAGTCAGGCTGTGTATCCATGCTTGAATTTATAGGAACAAAATACACTGAGACCTTCCTGATGTTAACAAACCTTGATCCTTGATTTACTGAAGAAACAATAAATGAACAAAGTCAGAAAACCTGGGAGAAAATGACCATCGAAGTCGCACCCCTGTACATTTTTAATGGCCCGCTCACACTTCTTGCCGCCAAGGCCATTTGTGCGCGTGCGTGCATACGAGTCCAACAAACACGATAAAAACTTTCCTTTACAAGATAGTAAAATGTCCTTACAACAAAAGTCCCCCCCCCCCCGGTTAGCTGATGCTATCTACAACCCTATTAGACGCAAAACCATCTGTATAGGAACCTTTTGAGAATCCCAACTTAAAAACAACCAATTTATACATACTCTTCAAAGCCTGTGAGAAATAAACTTAATTCCCTGATTAAGGTTACTAGGAAAGACTATCTACACAAAATCTTTCACGATGTCATTGGCAATATTCAGGGAACCTGGGAAGCGATTAATTCCATACTGAAAGGACACTAACAACTTGAAACCACTTCCTATTTTTTTCCCAGGATGGGGCTGTAATTAATGATAACAGAGACATTGTCGAGGCGTTTAATAACTGCTTTGTTAATATTGGAAGTAGCCTCTCCAGCGAGCTTCCACCTGCCAGCACTTCCTTTGATTCTTTTCTAAGTAACCAAAACTCAAACTCGCTGTTTTTCACACCTATTATCCAAAAGGAGGTTGCTGATTGTATAGGAAAATGTCCTTCTGGGAAGGTCCCCAGTTGGGATGATCTTAAAGTCCCTTTGTCATCAAGCAAGCAAGGAATGCACTTGCTAAGCCCTTGACTGATATCTTTAACAAGTGTCTAACAGCTGGAGTGTTTCCTGATCATCTAAAAATAGCCAAAGTAATACCGATTTACAAAAAAATTGTAAGCACGATGTAACTACAGACCTATTTCTGTCCAATCTACATTTACAAAATTGTTTGAAAAGCTTGTTTATCACAGATTAATATCTTTCATCAGTAAACATGACTTTTTTTCTGAATCACAATGCGAATTCGGACAAAAACGCTCTACTGAACTGGCGATATCGTATGTTGTTAGTAAATTATGTAATGCGATTGACAAACAGAATGTCTCCATTGGTGTATTTCTAGACTTATCAAAAGCTTTTGACACTGTCAATCATAATAGTTTAATTAAAAAATTAGAGCATTACGATATCCGTGGTACAGCGCTGGACCTATCAAAAAGTTATCTCTGTAATAGAGAGCAGTACGTATCGTTTAAATCTGTGAATTCCAGCAGTCTAGGAATCACATGTGGGGTGCCACAAGGTTCTGTATTGGGTCCATTGCTATTGTTACTTTTAATACATCAATAATAAATGCAGTACCTCAAAGAGTACATTTTGTTCATTTGCCGATGATACGAGTTTGTTGTATACACACAATAATGTAGCAATCCAAAACCTTAATTTGGAACTTGCTAAAATCAATGAGTATTTTTTAGCAAACAAACTTTGTATTAATGCCCTCAAATCACATTACATAATATTTTGTTCAAATCAATTTAAGTGTACACAAAATGCTCATTTGATCTTTAACAATCCGAGGTTGACCCGGGTTAAAAGTACAAAATTTCTGGGTGTAACCCTGGATGAAAATCTTACTTGGAAATTTTGTACTTATGATATCGATGAGGTAGCTACAAAAATATCCAAGAATATAGACATTATGAATCGCTTAATGTTTTACTTCCTGATGAAGTTTTATTAACATTGTATAATTCCTTAGTTTTACCTTATTTGAATTACGCTATTATTACCAGGGGCAGCTCGCCATCTCGATGTAACATTACTTTACAAAAGCGAGCGTTTCGTTTAATTACAAATGCCGGTCACCATGATCATTCTGCACCGTTGTTTTCTAAATTAAATCTTTTACCACCTGAATCTAGCGAAGTTTATGTACAAATTAAGGCATGGCCTACTCCCTCCTTGTCTTAAAGCCTGTTTTACCTTGAAATCAACCATCCACGATTACAGTACACGAAGTAGTTCAAAGGGAAATTTGTACGTCCAGTTTAGCAGGACGTCGATATCTAAAAAATAATGTCATTCACCAAGGTATACAGTATCGGAATCTTTTTCAAGATGTATTTTTGCGTTGGGGAGATGTTAATTATATATAACAGGTTTTGACTCGGACCACAGGGCAAAACCTGTTATATATAATTAACATCTCCCCAACGCAAAAATACATCTTGAAAATAGTTCGCGGTACCCGCTGCTTCATTTGACTCGGACCGGCCAGCCCATCCCGGCAAGCTCGGTGGTT